CGAAGGCGCCACCTATCTATTAGATATTACAAAACAAAAAAAACAACAACCACATCGATGTAAGTAAAATTCTATTTTGAAAAGTATGTCGATTCTATGAAGCCGTTTCATACTACTCGAACGTTAACTAAAATTATTTTATTTTATTCAAACAAAAACAATGTGGATTTAAATGGCCTACTGAATTTGAGTACATACAAAAGGCATTCACATATCTAATCTGATCTACTTGATAGGTAATTATAGTCTAATAGACAGCTTGAAATTCCATTTTGCATAATTTTATTTAGATATATGGCATATTTATTAACATAATTATTATCATGCAAACACGTCCATTTTCCCGGAAACATTCACAACAGGCAAATGTTATTATTATTATTTTAAGTTTGTTTTCAATTGACTCATATATAGAAACGTGTTTACTTGATAGTTTTGGGGGGAAATTAAAACAATATTGTTGCTTACGACTTAGTCAATTCAATCCCGTTAGGTATATCTAAACATTGTTTTATTATACTTACATACGACAAATGAAAAAAGTCTAACATATTTTAAGTATCTAAGTAACTGAAGGACATCGCGACTACCTACCATCATCTTCAGCCTATAAGTGCCCACTGCTGGCCTCTTCTCACACAGATTAGATTTGAGCATTAATCACCAGGCTTGCTCAAGGCGGATTGGCGATGTCAAATTTATAATTAGAAATTGTAAGTCCAGAGTTTCCTCAAGATGTTTTTCTTCACAGTGGTGTCTAAATAATCGAAGAAAGAACATACAAGTCACATTGTTAATTGCCAGGTTTCGAACTGACACCCTCATGTATGAGAAGCGCGCCTTAACCTCCGGGACACCACATAATATACCATCATCTCTATAAAAAAATAAAAAAAATCGTGTAATAAATAAAAATTGGTAGTCTATATAACCGTGTGATATTCTATCATTTCTGAGAACGCATCGTATTTATCAACTGTGCTATTTATGAAAATGATTATCTCGATGTAAGTAGGTACAACATACCTACGTGTTTATTTGTGCCAGTAACTTGTTGACCTGTTTACTTGGTTTTCTATTTACATCTTCATTTGCCAAACATGATTTTTTCATATACACAAGTATGTATTTGTGTATTTGTCTTCAGTAAATAGATACCTATAGCCACTATCCAGCTGGCAGGAAAGGACCAAATAGTGCAGGTACATTCAATACTAAACAGTTGCAAAGAGGAAAAACCTTATATTACCTAAGTAACTATAAGTATTATCCGTATTTAGACAGACATTGCCTCTGAAGGATTACACCTTAATAATTGGTGATGATACCGCCCACTGCGCGGACCCACAAAAAGATATTATGAGGACCCTATAGGACCCAGGTATGGAGCCGCCTTCTTGGCGTGCCCGTATTAACAGATTCGTTTATGAATAAGTTGGAAACTAAAGAAGTGTAAGGAATGAGAATGGCACTGGCGCTCTGTGGATCCTGTCTATTCCAATAGGATAAAGGCGAGATATTTGTCTCACAAGCGGCCTCGCCCATGTTAACCAGATGAAAAGACTAAGCCCATGTATATACCGTGCCCATGTATAAATGTCGTGGTGGCCCGGAGATTAAGGCGCCCGCTTCTCATGCATGAGGGTGCGGGTTCAAAACCTGGCAAGTACCAATGTGACTTTTTCCGAGTTATATGTACTTTCTATGATAATTTAGACACCACTGACATACGGTGAAGGTAAACATCGTGAGGAAACCTGGACTTATAACTTTTTCTAATTATAAGTTTGAAATCACCAACCCGCATTGAGCAAGCATGGTGATTAATGCTCTAACCTTCTCCGTGTGAGAAGAGGCCTTTGCTCAGCAGTGGGCACTTATAGGCTGGTGATGATGATGTATATACCAGCCATTACAATTAATTTATGTCCGAACCAATTATCATTCAGTTCAGGTTTTATTGTGAAGGTAACAATTAAAAATACTAAGTTACTCAAGAACTTTCGCATTTATAACATTGGTAGGACGAATTGGAAACAACGACTTAAGTATCTACTCGCGTGAAATAAGCGAGAAAAGAAAAACTAGTTCAGAATGTGACAAGTCAGAATGTAATTCTTTCATTAAACGCATCGCGATGAAAAACATCGCTCTGTTTTTCTTCACGTTTTCAATATTTAAGAGTATTAATATTTAAATAGTTACCTATAGAATCTATTGGAAAGTTAAATGTAGTAAAACTATTTCTGCTTTCGGAGATATCTAAAGGTACCTACAAAGATAATAAAAGTTTCCACCTAGATAAATGAGTTCAGTGACCTAGTGATACCTACATACTAATATGTTATAGGTATGTGTTTGTGATATGTGCAGTTTAAAGCTTCACCATACAACCATACTTATAAGCGAGTACCTGATCTTCGTGAGGATCCATCTATAACATAAAAATGATTCGCTAACGAGTTGCTTAGCGCCAATCTCGCTAATTCGTTTATTATTTGTGATCATTTTAAAGAGATGTTCTAATAAAAAAAATGTTAAAGTTTGTAGTAGAGAAAATCTATAACTAGATCAAAACACATACTTATTAGATATAGAGCCACAGGTAAGGTCCCATCCCTTTTTAAATTATTTTGTTTTCTACCATTGTGAACTAATGTCCTAAATAGTTGATCCTAGAAATAAATATCGGAGGAATTAAGGAGTACGTATGACCATAAGACGCAAAAGAGGTTTCTGTAGATATAAAAATAATCGTAGTGAGGAGAACTGAATAATATCGCCATATCGATGTAATGGGGTGGTGAGAGCTGCCAAGTTCCGATACATTTTCGCCAATGTTCAAAATTCTTCTTAGGCTAACAAATGACATTTTCTTAAAACACTGGTTGCTAGATAGTAAGACATCGAATACTTGTTAAATTCTCAAGCATATCACATAAAATAGCAAAATAATTCAAAATCGCACAAAAAATTGTTGTTAATTCCACAAATAATCCGTATACTTACCAACTAAATAACACCTAATGACACAGATTATCAGATTATCTAAAATAAAGTTATGGTCGTATGGCTAGAGACTACTCCCACAGTAGGGGATAAGCTGATTGTTCGGACTGACCTTCTTTATTCAGCTAGACGTCAAGTGATTGGTAAACAATCGAACTTACCTAAGTATAAGAAATTTTCCTTTGAAACCGTTGTGCAAGATAAAGATCAAAACCAAACACTGGCCTTGAAAAACGAAAGGTTTCAGTATCCCAGGAAAGAAGCTCCAAGCAAATGGTGCTGATCATAGCAAAGTAATAAAATAAGGACCCCGAATGTTAACCAATATTTTATTTTAATACTGTATTGATTTATCCAGTCATCGGTATGGTCACAGCTAGTTCTTGTTTTATAGGGAGACGCACTATCTTTAAAACTTAGGTACCTATGTCGGGCAATGAAAACTTTTGTTCTAGTAGATAAGTGTCTCATTTTTAATTACCTAATTGCCGTTAATACACTGAGAGCTGCCTTGTTCTTAAGCTGAAGTTTTATATTTGGGCTCACTTTAGTGTGCTCCAATCCTTTAAGTGTGACTCGATGTAACATATGGAAACTGTTTGGTCCATTCATCAGGACTGAAACCAAGGACCCATTAATCGGATTAAAAGCTTGTCCGGTTAGACGTTTAACCCGTTCGTTTGATTAACCCTTAAACAGATTAACATATGATATACCTAAGGTTACTCTAAGTATATTTTTTTATGTAATAGGCAAACAAGCAGACGGATTACCTGATGGTAAGCAATAAGCGACGCCCATGGACACCCGCAACGGAAGAGTTACGAGTGCTTTGCCGACCTTTTAGTGTTTAGTGTTTTGGAAATTTAGGGATTGGGGAGGAATCGGAGAAGGGGAAGGATTGGGCTTGTGATTGTTTCACGCCGGTTTTCTGTGAGACCGTGGTTTCACTCCGGTCGAGCCGTCCCATTCGTGCTGAAGGATTGCTCTACCACATTTTATTGATCAATCTGAGTGAAAGAGACAGCCTGTATCATCAAAGACCGCGTGGTAGTTATCTCTGTCACTTCTTATAATACTTCTACGTAGGTACTAAATTGCACCTTGTGACGAACCCGGTTCTTTTAGACCGAATACTTAATTTTCAATAAATAAAATAATAAATAAATTGATTTATACTTTGCAGAATGGACCTACAAGAGAATTTTTGGGTGGTGGAGAAATAGAGTGGTAGGTGCAACTCTACTGGATAAATGTAGAAAAGAAACACGCTAGGTATTATTTTTGATCTAATCCCAAAAATTAACCTTTCATACGGATAAACCTTTCGGTCCCTACAAGAAACTGAGGTCCCTACAAGATACGGTTCTGAAGCTGCATTCGAACAGTATACTTAATAGAGCCATTTTTTTTCTTAATTACGACTTATGCGACAGTGGCCTTGAAATATTTTAAATTGAGAAAATCTGAAACATATCGAACGAATACTTAGGAATAGGTTATGAGGAAAGAATACTTAGGTTTGGCTTCGTTCTTAAAAGTCTAGGTATTACTCCTGGCCAAAGACTACAATATAATATAGCTCCTGGCTATAGAACAACGAAATTTTGGTAACCCGGTTATTGTAAAATTCCTGGTAAATCTACATTGTGTAAAATTTGAGACACAACTTGACTTGGCGAATTGAACAGGGACAGAGACCCTAGTATACATTTTTAAATATATCTGGACGAATACTAATTATACTTATAGATACTTATCTCAAAATCTTGAGGTGTTACGTTAAAATTTATTGTATTATCCCTCGTTAAGACATATAACTATGTAGTTATGTAATTATTTAGGGATGGGTATTGATAGAGTACAGAGTTAGTCCAGTGGTGTTTATTCTACTATACTAAACGTCTTGACAACAAGGTTCTTCATAAACTAGATTTATTTCTTCGTTAAAACAATGTACATGTATTTGAATGTGAGCCTCTACTTACTCTAAATGTTGCTATGGCAATATGTCGGAGTTTACTTAATTTTTATAAATAAAGCAGTGCACTCGTCAATTTTATAACCAGTTTTGTATACTTGCGGCAGTTAACAAATAAACTAAAAGAATCAGCATAGCTGATGTATGAGATATAAATAGATGATGCGTGTCGTAACGACGAGCGGTGTCTTGTTAGTCAGCCTTTAATTCGCTAGTTGTGTCATACTGACTGTGAAAACAAGCTAGATTTTCCCCAAAACCTTTTGTATGAATAATTAACAAAGTACCTATTCAATTCATTGCGTGTTATTACGTCAATCAGTTCTCTCAGATTTGATATTACCGTAAGAAAATAAAACACAGGGATTTAAACAAATCAATATTATTTCCAATAAATTTATCAGTACATCCACTTTGAATGCATATTATTTTTACTCAATAAAATACAACATAAAGTCTTCGACAGCATGAACTAAACATAAGAACGAGTATAAGATATAATTTATTTACAATAAGGTGGTTTAAACACAAAATAAAACATTGAACATAACAAAAATCAGTGCAACAATAAAATAATAAATATTTAGACAGTGGACTTCAACGTGGTAGTTATAATAATTCTAAGGATATAATTATTCAATCGTTAGTTACACGAGTTTGTTACAAAATTATCTATTGGCCTCACATCACAGAGCTAAGCAATCTCGAGGGTCGACCGTAACGTGAACTGGCTCGCCGAGGCTCGAGTACAACTGAGATGCGTCTCAACTAAATAATAACATGTTCCCTCGCGCACAACAACTCAAACGAACTCCCAACAAACTAATAGTGGCACGATAAAAGTAAAACCCAAACTAAACTTTACACGGGCTCTACCCGACCCGTGACTCGAAACCAAAATGCATCACTGCTACGCAATATTGTCAAAATCTGCAAACCATCAGAGCTGCGCGTAAATGCGTCCACGACAGACGAAGGGTCATACATAGGAGACAAAACTTTGTAAATAAGCTCTAAAAATGTAAAAATCGTCATGCAATCAACTCTACGTCGATTCTAAAGACTAGAAAAATGCAAACCATTCAAATTAACCGGACGTCCGTGTTCGTCGACGAATAAATGCCCACACCGTGTACCTAACAATGATATGTTTAGCTCCCGAAGCGATGAGACAATGTGAGATAGCTCTGCTGCGGCCGCGAGTCCGTGATGCCGTCCGTGCCCACCAGTAGACCGTAATAAAAAGATGAACACACTATCAATTATACCTAAAATATTCAACAAGGGAAATCAGCTGATTCGAGTAGTCACCAAATGTCGCTCGGCTGAGAATTTCGATAGCTCTCATACAATACAACAATAATTACTATAACTTAGGACAGTCGTTAGGCCTTAAAATTTAAAATGTACAGTTATTTATTATGGCAGATATCAACAATCAATTTATACTATATATCGATACGATACTGACACTTTTTACAGAAACAATACTAAGTTATATACACTCATGCGATAACAACGAGCACCGACCCTCGCGGCGTCATCACGCCTGTTCGCTAGCAAATGGCACTTCGTACAAGCTCCCGCTACTGTTTGTTCTACTCCCGCCGGCGGGCCGAGGGCGCACAATAAACCGACTCTATTGTTATATCATTTTATAAACTCTAATTACTCTAATCCATAAATATACCGAAACCCCCGGCCGGCGAGCGCAAACAAGAAGCGGCTTTTATAATATTCGTATTACTGAAAATGAGGTACCGACGGGCCGAGCCCCGGGCGGTGCGGTCGGTGGCACAGAGTACCGGGACGGGCCGGGGCTAGGCGTAGCCGGGCGGGTCCCAGGTGGCCGTCCATCAGGAGGCGCGCGGCAGCAGCACGTAGTAGAGCGCGGCGGCCAGCAGCGGCACGACGAGCGCCAGCGCGCGGCGCAGCCACAGCGCCGAGAGCGCGGCCGGCTTGCTCTGCAGCGCCGCCAGCGCCGCCGCCAGCCGCGCGCGCTCGTCGCACGCCTCGGCCCAGCGCTCCTTGGCGCGCACCAGCTCGTCCTCCAGCGCCAGCAGCGACCCGTTCTGCAGCGCCTCGCGCAGGCGCTGGCCGTCCTGCAGCCGCACGTAGCCCGGCCCGCCCGCCGCGCCCTCGCCGCCCGCCTCGCCCGCCTCGCTCGCCTCGCCCGCCGCCGTTTCCGTGGATTCCTCGCCCGCCTCCTCCTCGTCGCGGTTGATTTCGGTGACTGCGGAGTCGGTCTCCTCTTCGTCGTCGTCGTAGTCGAGGCGGAACATCTCGTCGATCTCTGCAGAGATCTTGCCGGCATCGATGGATCGCTCAGACGTTTCTTGGGTGTCGCGCGGCTCATCGACCACGACGTCGGTCTCCACGGCCTTGTCTGCGACGGCGCGCTCGCGCACGGTGGAGGTACGCAGCCTCTCGATCTGCTGGTCCCGCGTAAGTATCTCGGCGCGAAGCTTGCCGACGACGGCGGTGAGGTCGTCGATGTCGGCGCGAGTCGGCCGGAACGCGAGCTCTGCTTGCATGTCAGCGACACTCGACGCTAATCGCTGAATCTCGGAGAGGTTGGTCTCCTCGGCCACCGTCGAACGAGTGAGTTGAGCCTAAAATTATTAAAACAGTGTTGGTTGTTTATCAATTAGTTGAAACGACAAGGGCGTGTTAAAAGTCCGTTGAGTTTGGTACAATATTCGGTATTTGATATCCAAGATTACAGGTTTTTGACGATAAAACTTTCTCACTTTTCTAAGAATCTAAACTAGCATGAGTAATGGTGGACACTTTCTAGTTAGGTTACAGACAAATTCCATAAAATAGAGGATTATAATATAAGTGATGGTGTACCTGCAGGTCGGCGATGCGCGCGCGGTAGGCGGCGGCGTCGTCGGGGTCTAGCGGCGGCACGTCGTGCGCGTCGTGGTCGGGCTGCGCGGCCAGCAGCTCGTCGCGCGCGGCGCGCAGCTGCTCGTTGTCGGCCGCGGCCGCGCTCAGCCGCTCGCGCAGTACTTTGATCTCCTCGTTCAGCCCCGCCATCACGCGGAGAATGTTCGCGTACTCCACACCCGCTTTGCTCTGAACACAAATATACGCTATGTTTTATTAAGCCTTGTTTTGTTTCATTAATTCCTGTACATGTTATTGTTTTATTGATTAGTATTTAAAAACTAAACGATGGTTTAGGTACAAAAGGCTGTCCTGTTGACAGTTAAAATGTGCATCCCTTCTATAACACAATATTACGATGAGCGCTGCGGACAATTAACCGTCATAATTAATATAATTATAACAAATTCAATTTTACAGTTTGACTCATTGCACTGATCAGAAAATCGTTCATGCAAAATCCGCCTTAATGACGTGTTAAGATCGTTTCCTAGCAACCAGGTAACAGGAGGCGACGGTGCAATGGGCGGAGCCAGGCTAGCCCCGCCCACTGACTCACGCGCTGCAATAAAGAACAAAGAGCATCGTACGAACTACCGCGCCGTGAAATTGTGCATTAACATACATAATGATACGCTCGCGTCTTGCACCGCCCTTGCAACGCTACCGACTGCATTGTAGACAGCATTACATTTATTCACCCACATTATTTTTTTACCATAAGATATTATAAACAAAGGACGATACATCAACTGCTCACAATACACAACTGTAATGAGTCAACTGATCAGTTAAAGATAATTATTTTACTCCCTAGACAATGTAGTTTAGTGTGCTCGAATATTAAAATAGAATAACTTCACTGGCTGTCGACGTTTTAATAAAAGACCAAATAACTATCTAACTCCAAAAGTATTTAAAAAACAATAAAAATTACAACAATCGATATGAAATAAAATTAGAACTTGGAAATACTAAAGAAGGAAGTCACGAAAGTAGATGAAATCAAAATATAACATTTGAAGGAAGTACGGCAGTCATAGTTATATTTTACCTACATTTAAAACTAAACCAATTCATATCAGTATTAATCAGATACTATGAACGAGTAGATACAAAAAATGACAAAAAGTAGTAAAAAGGTTTCTCGAAGATTCGTGACAGCGACATCAAAACGAAGTAACGCAAGCTCATGAAGTTGAACCATTTTGACAAACTTTATTTTATATATTCTCAACCTTATTATTTTTCAATAAAGTTGAAAATGTGTTGAAGACTCAGACAGTTAAGGGTGGCTATCGTGCATAGAGATTTACGTTTGAATCCGAGGCCTTTTAAATCTAAAGCGATGATTCACGCCAACATTCCGAGGTCGAACCTAGTTCCAAACAAGTGCAGAGCAAGTACAATAATTAAAAAATAGTTTTTACAACGAACTAATTCATGCCAACTTGTTCCTGATATGGTATGGCGTTGACTGATCTATGTTGTTTGTCCTTATTCAATGAATAAATGTATATGTTCGTGAGAACTTTGAGTTTATTGAAACTTAGGTAAATGGTATTGATCAGCTTTTATAACAAGCTTCCGCCCCGGTTTCGCTTGCATGGTAAGTTGAAAAAAATTATAAGTAGATAAGAATAAAAGTAGCCTATGTGTTAATCCAGGGTATCATCTATCTACATACTCAATTTCAACCAAATTGGTCCAGCAATTTTGCGTTAAAGGATAACAAACATACATCCATACATTCTCACAAACTTTCACATTTACAGGTATTCTTTTTAACTTATGTTTCAGCTACTCTAGCTCTAATTGTAGTGGTCGTATCAACAATAATTATCATTGTGACTTTCCCAATGTGAGTTTACTTTCTAAGTTTATATAGACACCAATGACAAGTGGTAATGGAAAACATTGCTAAGAAACCTGGACTTGGAGGCCTTTGTTCAGCAATAGTCACTTATAGGTTGATTATATGTTTGTGTAATGTTTGATGATATGATATCCGAAATAGAAATCATCACATACAAATGACAAGAGTTATCCCAATGGATCAGATTCCCTAGCAATTATCAAACTTTTCGGTTCTGGGTAAAATTTTTTCAAAACACACACAGAAAAAATCCACAATAGCTGAGCAACTGGCTGTAGTGCTACAGTGTACGTGTCGCGGGTTCGATTCCTGCACGGAACAACTCTTTGTGTGATCCAAAAATTGTTGTTCCGAATCTGGGTGTGATGTGTATTTGAAATCTATGTTTGTAAACACACCCACGGCACAGGAGAAAATACAAGTGTGGGGTAATGTATTCATTAAAATAAAAAAAAATATGACCAATAGGGGCGGAGTCCTAGTGCGAGTTTACTTCGTTCGGCTCTCTGAATTTTTTTTCTGGTATAGGAGACAAACGAGCTTACGTATCACCTGATGGTAAATGATCAGCGCCGCCCATGGACACCTACAACACCAGAGTAGCCATAGGCGCGGAGTCAAGCTTTTAAAAAGGAGTACACAGGTAGCTTGCAGTTTTGATAGGACTGCTCTAAGCTAACCAATTAATCAGAGTGCAAATGCAGTAAAGCTTCAATAGAGCTCACTTAAAAATAACTAGAAGTCACGCTAAGCAACAGGTGAAATCGTGTAGGAGTACCTAGTACAAGAACAACGAGTTACTTACAGGTGATTCTTCTCTAGTGCTGGGTTCACTGTATGTGGAGTTGGCGTTGTTGTCCGCGTGCAGCTCACCGTCCAGCGGGCTCGGACTCTCCTCGTGACCTGGGTCTGTAACCAACATTATGTTAATATTACTAAGAATTTTTTTTTTGAGGGGAAAATTAGCAAATGGCTTATCCCGCCCAGGGACGGGCAGGCAGGTGTGTCAGACTCTTACTGATTAAAAAGCCCTTCGTCCCTTCTCCTGCTCTAAGCCGAGGCTGCGGTGCCTCATTGCGCTTACCCCGCAACCCCGGCTTAACATCAGCCTATAGGGCCCCGTCTGTGGTGATCTATTGGCTCTTTGAAGCGCGCGCGTTTGTATATTTGTGAGTCCAATCTCATGTAACATAGTCAACTTATACAAGTGAAACTATTGCTAAAAACAATGCTCATTTTGTATTAGGTTAAACCGCTTGTTCTGTTTGAGGGGGTGACTCTACCACTTTCATTCTTTTAATAAGAAGGATTATGAGAAAATCTAAGGTTCATGGCTTTTTTGCTATGGTTTATTCTAACAAGTGCGGAAATTAATTATTAGCAATGATTTGATGAATATTTCATAAGCTGTTTTTACCGTGATTGAGTCGCGACTGTTTTTCATCGTCAGTACACGATTCGGGTTCGCCAGTTTTATCTTCGCCGCTCCCACTGACACTGCCCTCTTCGTTATTCTGTTTTTCTGCAATAAAAATAAACACCGATTCTTATTGAAAACTCATGATATATTTCATAGGCATAAGAATTAATAAAAACTTATAAAAAAATATATAAATGTAAACATCTGTAACATCGGTACTTTAAAGTAGTTTAACTACAGACTAAAGTTATGAAAAAACACATCTTCATCCAATAATTGGTATGTTTAATTACATCAGTACTCACCTTTACTCTCTGTATTATAAATATTATTTGTCTTTAATATTAATTCGAACTCCTTCGCTGATTTTCCTTCGGCTGATATCGCTTTAATTCCGACCTGAAAATAATTACGTCTGTTAGCTCCTTGGCAAAAACTAGTCGTAATCTACATAGTTAAGTAAGATTTCATTTAATTTTTTATTGATTATCACAGGCTAAAAGCCCGTCAAACTCCGTGTAATATTTTTTAAGAGTACCGTCATTTAACAGATTTTTTGACTAATGACAGTTCCTCTGAGAGACGCGTCAGAGGAACTTAAAGTGCTCTATGTTTAAAGTTTGGTTGTATTAAATTCTTAACTTGTGTCTGAGTAAGAAAAATGACTAGATAGACCGGGTTATTTATTGCACGGCTTGGACATTCATATTCTATTCATATTCATACATTATAATAGCTGCTCGGCTCCATTTGATAGCCTATAACATTTAGGAACACAGTACCTATCTATCAGTGAAAGAATTTTTGAAATTCGAGCAGGACCTCTAAGGATTACCCCATACAAACAAACTTACATCGTTATAATAATAAAATAGGCAATGAACATGAATCAAAATCGAAATCAAAGACAAACGATAGCTTAAAGACATTGAAGCGACATCTATCGCACAACATCCAGCAACAGCACCAGCCATGTTCAAGATCCAAAATCGCGGTTTAAAAGTTCTCGATGCAATTAGAACAAGTACAAAACCTCGACAACGACCATCGGGCAGTAGCCATCCAGACATAACACCAATGTGGTCGGAGGATCCTCTCTTTTCAATGGAGGATGAGGCTCTTTCCACCCTGTTCTCTCATACCTCCAAAATATCAATGTATAGTATCGTGCGAAGGTACCTTGTTGAGCAGATGCTGCGGCAGTAGCATCTTGATATAGTCAGGTAGGGCACGCACGGCGTCCTCCAGCGTCGCGCCGCGCGTCGCCTCCGACACGCGGTTACTGTCTGAGCTCACCACCAACATCTTCGCTTCGCCGTTTTGTACTGAATACTGAAACCACAATAACAACATCACCATCATGTCGCCCACAATACAACCACTTTTTTAATCATATAAATGCAGTTTAAGTGTAGGAGAGCCAAGCTTCGGTACGAATGCATCGGCTCGACCGGAGTGATATCGCGGCCTCACAGAAAACCGGCGTAAAACAACACAGCGTTGTGTTAACTAAAAAGAGGGTCCGTCCTCACATAGTAGGGTTTTATCCTATAAGTATAATGAGTAGTATGACTTACAGCGAGCGGCAGATGGTTGCGCACGGCGAGCTCGCGCTCCTCCGCGGCCGCGATGGCCAGCCGAGCCGCGCACATTTTGCGCTCGCACCGCGCTGCCAGCTTCTGCAATACACAACACCTACAGGTTTAGCACTGGCCAATTATTACCTATGAACATTGTAACACACCACTTGATTGTCCAAAGAAGTAATAGTACTCAAACTGTTCATATTACTCAATTGGTCCTACTTAGTACTTAGTAGATAGAGAGGAACTTTGCAGGTATTATATTAAAAGAAATCTCCGTATTCCCGGTAACTTAAAAAAATGACAGTTTATGTGTGTGCAGTAGAGATTAGCGAGAGTCGGTACCTGTAGCTCGGCGAGCGCGTTGTTGGCGGTGAGACGGAGCGCGTAGTTCTGCTGGTGCAGCGCGGCGAGCTCGCGGCTGCGGCGCTCGAGCGACTCCTCGAGCTGCAGGCGCTGCTCGTGCGCGGCGCGCAGCGACTCCTGCGCCACCTCCTGGTAGTTGCGCTTGTCGCTGAGCAGCTGCGCCAGCTGCGCGGGGTCGGGCTGCGAGCCCACGGCCAGCATGGTCTCCAGCGTGTGCACGCGCAGCAGCAGGCGCTGCTCGCCCACGAACAGGTCCCAGGCGGCCGCCGCCTCGCCCCGCGTGCGCTCCACGCACTCGCGCAGCGTGCGCAGCCGCGTCTCCAGCGACGCCTCGCGCTGGATCGCCTCCTACACCCACGTACATTTAGACTCATTTTAATCTGCCACCCCCAGTTGACCATGCACTGAGTTATTAAATTAATTGCAACATTTAGTTTTTTATGTGAGGGGAAAGTCATCCAATGTCTTCTCATTCAGATTAATATAATCTTATATTAATCTGAATGGCCTACTTGAATGGGTCAGTACTGCAGAACGGCAATTTCATAGGTAAAGACCTATTATTAATATGCTTAAGAGTATAAATACAATTTTTTGAGAAGGGAACATCATTAAATTACTTGCCTACCTGGGTAAGGCGATAGAGAGTATCTGACTCTTACTGACTAAAAACACCCCGTCCCTTCTCCTGCTTTAGGCAGAGTCCGCGATACCTTATCGAGCTTGCCACCGCAATCCCGACTGAACATCTGCCCTGTAGGACCCCGTCTGTGGCGGTCTATTAGCTCTTTGAGGCACGCGCGGAATGCTACATTTAGCTTAAAACACTCTGAACTCGAGCGACGAGTTTTGCCCCTTTTCTTTCAATACTTTTTTATGGGATCGATCAGCATACGAGCAACAAGGAGTTACAAGTAAAATGACAGCCTTATACTTATAGTTAGGAATTTCAAGATTGATACTTATGAGTTAATTTCACTCAAAATTAATAAAACATTACCTGTACAAAATTGTTTAACTGGTATAACTCTTTGAGGTCGAGAGGTGTGGTCATAGTGGGGTTAAACGATAGTTTCGCCTCCTTGCCATCTGGATGGTACAGCTTGAGCATAGCAACCACGGGCGGGAACGTGTTCTGTCGATTCAAATTACACAAACACAATACATTAATAATGATGTATAAAAACCTGCTGCAAAAAGAGGCCCTTAAAATAAGTTTGTATGGATAACAAAATCACTTTACATATATTACAGGGTTGTAAAATTAATTCATTACAACATGAACGTAGGAAAACAATGTTAACAAAATTAACCTCCTTCTTCAACAAAGTCATTGATGGATGTAAGATCGTGAGCGCATCTAATTAATTTTTAATCAAAACAAGATGATACGGGATTCTTGATTTAAGACAAGCCAATCTAGGAACCGGTTGGACAAGTAACACACTTTAAAACTTTACAAAACGGGAAAGATGTGAAATACCTACCTAATCTGTAGATTGAAAAATAAACATTCATAGAAACCAAACAACAATAAGTTTAAATAATAGACGATCAAGTCTTACAAGTCAAGATGGTCGTGGTGGCCGTGAGGTTAAGACGCCCGCTTCTCACGCTTGATGGTGCGGGTTCGAAACATTGGCAAGTAACTATGTGACTTTATCCCAATTATATGTGGGACTTTCAAGTTTACTGAGACACCATTGACAAACGGTGAAGAAAAACATCCTGAGGAAATCTGGACTCATTGACTTACTTGACTTAAGTTCCTATGTCCCCTAGGTGGGGCAGAGAGCTTCCACAGTATGTTTCCATTGGGATAATCTGGACTCATTATTTATACTTATTATAAATTTGAAATAGCCAACTCATAGGTAAAAAGCGTGATGATTAACACTCATTTCTCCGTGTAAGAAGAGCATTTTGCTCAGCAGAGGGCATTCTGGTGGTCTGAATTGACTCAAGATTAATTTAGAACTTTTTCCTGTGTGAAAGTGTCATACACACTCAATACATAATGCTACTATTGTCTTACTGCAAATCATAATCAGCAAAAAACACTACTCAAATATATCGAGACAGTAAAGTTCGCATCATAGTTTAGACGTGAAAAAAAGATAGACAGACAGACAGACAGGGTTACTTTCGCATTTATAATATTAGTATAGATAAAAGAGTGTAAAAGTATCATTACGAGTTGTACTCCGTATATGAAAATTGTAATGTAACAAAGAATCTGTATCTGAAACTGATTAAAACAGAGTAAATGGAGATTCACGGTCATTCTACTCCATCGAAATCTACACTTTAGAACGAGCAAATAGATTCACTAAGAGGACTGACCGATAGACTGACACTTATTATGCCTTACGATTCGTTTGACGTTAAGTGCTTACAGGCACTAATTAAAATAAATTATTTTTGTTTTTTTTTTACCTCCTAACAACATTTTTTACAACGCCATAATTAACAGAGAAGAAGTGGAATACAATAGATTCCTCTCACAAGATACATGTCTCTGAAGGAAAACATACTGACCAAACAAAAAAAATTGTTTTACATTGAATGAAATGTAACAATAAACATTACAAACATACCATTTTTATCAACGTCAGTCAAAGTAACGCGAACAGTGGAGTGAGTGGCGACGGCCGATATGCAGCGACCGCAATAATTTATACAACAATTGATGCACGTCTGTGGTCATTGCGAACACTGGTGCCTGGATTGTTGTTCAGTCCGGTACATAGATGTAACACCAGTACATAATAACACACGCGAAATCATGCTACGAAGTGTCATGAGAACACGAATCATTAAGGGTATGCAAACTCTTTTCACCAATCGTTATTAATTTGTTACTTTTCAAGAAAAAAAAAAGAAATAATAGATCAGCCTGTACGAGCCATTCAACGGTAGAGTTAAAAATCCAGAAAATCCTTATAAAATGGTTGCTTAAAACTTTTACTATACTATATGTATATTTACACTATTAAGTCTGTAAGTTAATCAAAATATGTTCACTGCTCCACATAACAGATTTGATATCCAAAAAAAATTATCTCACAAGACACTATTCACCACGAAAAAATCCAATGCTACACACAAGTAACAAATATTTTAAATGCACTACTTCAATAAGATCAAATAACACAACAATCTTGAAAAGGTCGAGTCCATGCTTCCGTAATAACCATCACATATCACAATCAAGTCAACGAACTCTTCCGCAAAAGCGACAGTCAAACACAAGTTGCACTAAAGGCAACCCACTCCGTGCCGTATACAAACGAATATTATTAATCATTTTGTTCACTTCCTTACCTTCTCAGCATTGCCAGCATTCTCCACGACTGATATTCCAAACTGCACCACGTCACCGGAGAACACCTCGTGCGGTTCTTGCTCCTTCGATATGGAGCACCGGTTGTTATTGATGAACGTGCCATTGCTGCTCTTATTGTCCTGTAAACAATCAAACACGCGCGTCATACTCAAATACCTACGTAAAACAACAAAGATGTTGTTTATAAACATTGTTCATTTATTATGAAGGATTTGTTAATTTCTAGTTGTTAATATTATACATGATTTATGAACGAAATATGTATTAATTTTATATGAAATATTATGTCAGTTTGTTTAAATAATTAAATCTTACCAATTATTTATAAAAAATATAGAACATATAACGAATATTCTGCGTTTTTATCAAGTATCCTTACATCAAAGTTAATCCCTCCATCTGCACCTTATTGACTGCACGGTTGGTGCGGTGGCTGGGCAACTGGCTGCCGTGAAACGTGTCGCGGGTTCGATTCCCGCACGGAACAACTCTTTGTGTGATCCACAAATTGTTGTTCCAGATCTGGGTGTCATGTGTATGTGAAATTGTATGTTTGTAACCGCACCCATGACACAGGAGAAAATCCTAATGTGGGGCAACGTTTTTTTAAAAAGAAAAAAAAGAAAAGATCTACATAATATGTACGCCAGACGCAAAATACAAAACTTTATTTTCTTTTTTAAAGTAAATAATTTACAGACGTATTTATATAGTCTTTTTTATTGATGATAAACTAATAATAATAATATAAACGTCACAATAAACGAGCTAGACTTTACCTGTCTATTATAATTTCCATACTAAAACAAAATACAAGTTCAAAATGTATCTCATCTTATTTGATATTCAAATATATTAGAGTGGCACGGTATCATTATATTAATTTATCGATTTATTCTATATAGTAAGTATAAAATGACAAATATTTCGTTTCGAACGTTTTATAATCCTTAACTAAATGCGCACTTAGCACAAATAAGTTGCGATGACCTTTTTAATTTCCTTTAGCTCTTTTTAGAGTCAGTCTAGAAAAAAGTTGAATTATTTTAACATTTCATTATACTTTAACTTTTATTTATAAGTATATTAATCAACGAATCCGTCTGTAGAACCAACAAATTTTCATATGAAAAAAAAACTAAGGTTTAAGACTATCTATTGTATAGTTAACACAGGTGCTGTTATGATGACCAATAAATATATCTGCCCTCAAATACGTACAATCATGTAGCAATCCATCATATTGTATTTGAAGTAATTTACAAAACTTGCAGATTATCCTTATTCCACGTAATAAGGTTAGCAAACAAATGCAGTTTGCATTACTAATTTATCATAACTACGTTTTAAAACACAATTTATTAATTAGTGCATGTTATCGATCAGAGTTACAACACAGTTTTACAATGTACTTATTTACATTTTTATTTATCAGATCAATTTAAGGAAAATATCCTCAACCCATGAAAACATTATGCTTCGCCCAGTAAATATCAATTTCCATGCGATTACAATCGGAAAGCCGATATCACCACAGCGATCAACCTTAGTGTCTTCATTCTTTACAACTCATTGTGGATTTTACGACGTAACATCAATGTTACGCGAACAATTCAGACGTTTGTAGGCAAACAACCTCTAAAACCGGAGACGCAGTTCGGTAAACGAATTACCATGAAGACAGGCGGTTATAGAAATCGCCTGTGGGCGGATATGGTGAGAGCCGTGCCCGAAATACTAGGCACCAACCTCCACGTAACAAGTACCTGCAAGGTTCTTTCATAACTCATGTAGGATGAATTGACATTTTTGTAACCCTCGTTATAATCATAACTAATTTGGTCATACTTATTACTGTTATGAACGAGCTATTGTGACTTGGATGCTTGAGATCGTGTCGTGAGATTTTTGGTCGGAAATGTACGGTCCTACGTACTTATGTAAATACGTTTCTGTTCTTGTGTTGCGTCTTAATTACGTATTCAAATTAGGAATTTTTATGCGTTATAGTTTTTACTTGTTGAGTTTTTCTATTCTTTACTTATTTTGAATAAAATTAAAGTAGACTACTCCGGAACGAAACACGGCGAACAATCGCAGCTGTCTCTATTTAGGGTTTAAGTATGTTAATGCTGTCACAAATCTGGTGTGATGTCACATAAATCGGATTGTTATATTTAAAAAAGTTATTACATAATTGGATCCATCAGATAGAAAGAAAAAGACAAGAGGTTAATTACAGGTAAGTTATTTCTCAGGTGTCAAGCAGTTCTGTAATCCACGCAGTTTATTCAAATAATATTAGGAATTCGGTTCCTATTTCTAATGGATTGTGGTATGAAGCTAAGGTATTTTAAACTGGAACAATATCTTGCGTCAGCTGCCTTGCAGGGCATATATGGTGTCGCAAACACACCATTTAAGCACATATTGTTTTAGCAATGCTTAGTAGTAGAGACACAGAATTTTTTATCGTTATTCAGTATAACGCAATCAAGAAACACCTCCAGCTGCCCGCAATACCGGAGGTACGTCATGTCGACCTCTCGAGGTGTAACAGCTCCGCATGGATATGTACTGTTATGGAAAAGAACTCCACAAACCTGACTGGCGACAATTGAAAAACTACTACTATAAAGAGCTGGCTCCTTTGTTCCATTGTTCAAAGTGATCGCAGCAACTACTGAACCGATTGAAATCGTTTCTTACTAATGAATAACTCAAATTCTTTAACTGTTCGTTGGGAATATGAGACGAGCTTGTCAATGTGACAATTATCGTGAAGAATAGATGATAATTGGGTAGCTTTATGCACATCGTTACGATCGAATGATTCAAGAAACTTTCTGAAGTTACACTTCTTGCGTGTATTGAAGTTTCTTTACCCAACCTAAACATGATATTTCGCATACGATTCCAGTGACTGAAGTAATGATAGTGTTCGGCGCAACTAGCCAGTAATAGTAGGAGTGTTAGTAACAATTGGTCGTAAGTTGGTATAGTGTACATAGAAGCAATTTGTGGGACTCACCACAAGGTAAAAGTGGCCCTTGTCGTAATAGAGCGTGGCGTGATGTCGAGACAACACTCGGCATTCGAATATTGTGTTCGTCGGGCTCGGAGTCGCTCGGTACAAGTTGCGGCCAATCTGAAACATAACAAACATTATGTGAATGCAATACGAGCATTAGATCCGGCAGATAACGCCAGCATCCTCAATTATCATTAAAATATTTAAAGAATTCCACTGTTTCGACGGCCTACAACCGTATAATTTGCAACTATTCTTTCATTATGTTTTTATCTATTATTTCCGGAGACATGTGTTTATGGTTAAGTTAGTCAAAAGGTCATTGGAAAACAGTAGTCACATTTATAAAGATGGTTATAGGTATGCGAAGAGATGGCAACCTAATTAACCAGTTAATGTTGCGTACGTCAGTACAGATCGAAATAGATTGATCTGTGTATCAACATGTTATTTGTATGTGAAATAAACTGTAAGTATCTACTATTGAGATCAATGGATCTCTAGCTCACGACGCGACACACATGAAAGCTTGCATTGTTAACAAAGATTTATGTATCTTGGATGATATGACATCAAGACCCCGCCTTTGTTTTAGTACTAAAGTGCGTGTTTACTATTCACTAATGAAGTTTTACCCATTTCCTATTACTAATTACTTTACATCACGTGCTTTTAATACAAATCTACTTTGTATTAAAAGCACGTGATGTAGTATGTATAAGGGAACATGATATTATGGTCTTTTACTGCAAACGTGTAGGCATTGCTCAAAAATTCCATTTTAAATTGTGCTATTTACTGACAAATATTCTAATAGTAAACTAGATCAATTTTGCATTACCTAAGGATTAGATAGAATAAGAACTTCGTGGTTATAACAGGAGTAGCGATGGTTATTTATGGTATAAGGGTAAGTATGATTACGTGGTCATTAATAAGCATAATTGATAACTTAGTCAACCACAAAGTCTAGCCGAGTTCACCATTACGTATTTACTATGCATATAAAAATGCCTTCGCCTTCTAGTCAAGCGCATGTGTAAACGACTCTTCCATAATTCATGTCATATTAATTCATGCGATGCTTTGCATTATTACGCCCGTAACATAATTACTCCGATGCACGCGCTACTTATAGGTTATTGATTTACTACAATCGAACTATGAACCAAGAGTTCGTTTAATTTTATTTTAGTGCACTATAATGCCCGTATTTAATAATCTCGCCGCTACTCAAGTGCTACAGGAGCCATAAGCGGTATCTTTCAGATCATCTTATTACCATAATTTTGCGATCGTCGAAAGGTTTCCTATGCCAAACTCTAGGTGCTATCTATCTATATCTATGTTATTCTTTAGTTTCTATGAACCTTCATTGTTTACTTGAAAGTATCGTAAGTTTCCTCTCTGCTATCGTTCGAGCTTACACTTACGACCTCGCAATCATTGCAATATGAATCAATTTTATTGGTAAGATAAAGCGCAAATAAAAAATACAATGAGTCACATGATACATGAGCTATTGTTAATTGTTTTAATAATAGCGAAACTTGGGACAAAAGCTTCCTCTACAATAACATGAGGCCGATAAGTATCGACTTCCTTACTGGCTTACTAGCAGATGCGTACTCAGAATAGCACAATTTAATCTCATTAAATTTAATTGCCAATGCACAATTGTGGTCGTCTCAAGCACCTCGGGTCAGGCTGAGTCAGGCGCGTACGGCTGTGTTCGAGCGCATCTACCCTGACAGACAACCGAGCGCCTGGATTGAATACAAACTAAATTATGGATAAATTGCCATCATTTCAGTGTGACGAGATTTACAATTGCGTTTTATTTTAATAATGAGTTGATTTGAACACGAACTAAGATTATTTATAGAGTATATTGTCTATTAAAAGTGAACAAAAGAATGTGTAAATCTGTAGCAAAAATGTCTTTGTTCTTATTATGTTGAACTATTTCCTTATAAGTAAAAAAATGTTCGATTGTACCTATTCTGTACATTCCATTCATTTTTAAAAGATCACGCCAATGAAAGCTTTCCCCTAGGCTGCAGATTTGGAGTATGTATTCAAACAATGGCACCAACGGATCTAACAAGTCTATACACTTTGGTATCTGACTGAAAAAGTACATGAGTTATCTGTGAGGGGTAAACCCACAACTTACAAAAGATCAGGTTGTTGTACTGTTGCAAATTGGAATAGCTTTTTTTACTACCTCGGGTTAATCTAGTTTGAAACTGCTATTTTCAAGTTTAACATCTTAACAATTTTTCCTTTTTAACCGACTTCAAAAAAGGAGGAGGTTCTCAATTCGACGAGTATTTTTTTTTTATGTATGTACACCGATTACTCGAAGACGCCTGGACCGATTTGCAAAATTTTTTTTTTATTCGATAGGGTATACTTGCCATTTGGTCCCATTGTCATGAGGTCAGGATCTGATGATGGAATCTTGGAGAAACCAAGGGGAACTTTCGAAAATTGTAGGGGCGAGTAGTTTTTTTTGTATGATGTTTAAGTAGACCTTTAACAACACTACAACTTGACGAAGGTCGAAGTCGACCAGATGTTGGAGCTGGAAGACAGTCGAGGGATCTCGTTGACTATTTGGAGTAGTTGCCTTGTGTTTGGGCTTGAATGACTCGTATTGGCGAGCACTTTGCACCAGGCTAGGTCGTAACTGTCATTAAGGGTCTGATGATGAGAACGAAGGACAGCTCAGGGAACTCCTGAACGGTTTACAGTAACTACTTCGTGTTTGAACTTAATTCATTTATATTGATGAAAACTTTGTACCACTATTGATTATAACAACTGAAGGTCTGCAGTTTACCTGATGATGGAGACCATTGATAGTCTAGGGAACTCCTCAACGGTTTACAGTAGCCACCTCGTGTTTGGACTTAATTAACATAAAAAAGGCTGGTGATGATGATGATGATGATGAGAATTTTCCCATTTCTTGGGAATTATATTTTTTAATCGAGCGGCTCCTTCGTAGGCCTAGCTACTTAAAAAATATATATACTATTCAGTATGTTAATTTATATTTAAAATGTTACTGTAGTTTACAGAAGAACTTGTAACAGAAACTAAAAAGTAAAAAATAAAAAAAAACTACGTTTAAAAAAACCGACTTCAAAAACAAAAAAGTTTCAAATAATTAAAATACATATTTTAATACCATTCTTACGTACGCGAAGCTAATACTTTTAATATTAATAATAAAACACTATCAATTCTATGTGCTACCTATTTATAGGTTTGAAGTCGGTGCCAAGCCCTAAACAGAATAAAAATAAATAAGAATTAAGACTGTTTAACTGCTAAAAGACGAAATTTCCACAACCAACAACGAAGGTACCTAATACTACTTTTAACAACCAAGTACGAGAAAACTTTCAGAATTCATAATTCACCCAAATATGTTTCTAAGCTATACATATATAATTTCGCCGGTAACGAAACCATATAGACTTCTGATTCTACGCTAACGCCATCAAGTTAGGTACTAAATTTCTAAAATCCTAACAAATAAATTCACACGCACCCGACGAGTTTAGGTACTCATGTATCATGCTTATTATATTATACTATTATGTATATTAGGCTTGGCACCGACTTCAAACCTATGAATAGGTAGCACATAGAATTGATAGTGTTTTATTATTAATATTAAAAGTATTAGCTTCGCGTACGTAAGAATGGTATTAAAATATGTATTTTAATTATTTGAAACTTTTTTGTTTTTGAAGTTGGTTTTTTTAAACGTAGTTTTTTTTTATAGTCTCCATTTATAGTCACAGAAAACCCTGTTAGTTCAAGTTTATGCAAAGAGTATCTTAAATAACCAGAACTATGTCTAAAGCTATAAGCTTTCAATTAACAGTCATTATCAAGTAAAAATTATACAAAATAACATGTTGTTATCCTAAACTGTTCCAATCAATCCCATCAAATAAGATATTAAAATCAACCAATGAGAATTAATTGTTTTAACTATTTCATTTTAATAGTAAATAACAAAGCATATAAACAAGTTCTCATTGAAATTTTTTCACACAATAGTATTAATATTTCCGGATGAATAAATATTAAAAATATTTTGAGTGAAACTTACTAGTATTCATTTATTATATGGACAATACAACAGTTGTCAAGTTGCAAATGAGCACTGAAGCGAGTGGCAGAAATTTTTATGTCATAATAAAAACATCTATTTGTAGAAACTTTTCTTTTACACCATATATATTATAATATAATATATATTTTTATACAGTCGTGAATTATTGTAAACTGATTTAATAGACATGATGCTAATGTCGATACATTGCTTAACTAAGCTTATATTTTATTTGCTATTTCTTTATCTATTGATTAAATAAAAGAAAGTCTATTTTTACACTCCAACTGTCTGTCTCAAAATGACAAGTTGTCTTAGGGTGATTGGATGAATTAATGGTAAAAAATATATATTAAATAATGGGAGAAAATATTAGTGGAGTGCCAAGTATTATAATCTAAGTTATGAACTGTATACCATGGAGTTTCTTGCTTGGTCTTCTTAATAAGAATAAAAAACATTCTTTTTATAAGATAAAATATTGGTCAAAAGTGCATTTTTATCTTATTAAAACATTTTTTGTTTGAATGACTAGAATACTTTGGACTGTGGACTGTTGGATACAAAAATATATGTTCAAGCAATAATTTATGAAACCCCAAGCAAACAACAGCATTTATGCACCTATTGTCTTACTATTGTGACTCAAATTACCATGATTGAAAGATTAAGAAGAAAATATTGATATTTTCAAATTGTGACAAAGAGAAAATGTTGAGTAAAACTTATTGATACTGTTTCTTATAAGATGACAAAAATGAGATAAATTGAAAATTATATCAATAACATCTAGATAAGTTCTTATCTAAAAGTCTTGTTGAGCAATGGATTAAGATTAGCAGAAATTCTTTTCTTAGTAGCAAGTTAGAAGATATTGTTTATATAAAGCTTTTAAATGGAAGGTTTACTTCTTGAGATAATAATGTTACATGGTATTAAATTATCAGTAATAATGAATAGACATCAGAATATAAGGAATAATAACAGTTTCCAGTTTACTGAGATGCCTCATAATATACAGAAATTACAATTCTAATGAGATAATTTTGTCTGTGAAATGCACAGAACTCTTATATTTGTCTAGAAATTTACATTTTTAATTTAATAGGCATAGGTCTTAAAATTTATTTGTTGATATTGTTAAGATTTTTTTTAATAGAATACATACTTGCTATAAAAGATATGCTTAAGAGATTTTGATAAAAGATGGATAATATTTCTTAATTAACACTCTAACAAAAAGTGAGTGTCTAGAAATATGTCAGTTCTGAAGTATTGGCACACCACCTTTGGTATGTTCAGTACAGTCCAGTTATACAATGTAGTAAACTTCATATTTCAAACTTAAACTACTTTACTCTAGTGAGCTATGCCAAAGCCTACTAAGGAATACTATTAATTAAATAGTTGTTATGTCTGATTAAAGCTCTTAGAATGTCTAATAAAGGCAAGAAGTCTATAAAATTATTCAATAGCAATCCTATTAGATAGTATTCAGGAACAATACAATATGATATTAATTTATATCAAGGTAAATAGGCTAAATAAATAGTAGCAATGTTTGTAGTTAACTCTAGTACACTACTGTGTTCCTCTTTCAAAGTACTAAGTCAGTCACTGACAAGTCTCAACAATTGACATAGGCACTCTAATTACTAGACAGTACAAAATTAACACATTACATAGCACATTCTCAATGGCATGCTCTTTACCCATCTACCTTGATGTTAGACACAATTCCTTGCCCATAACAAGTGACATTGTCATTCTGCTCAGACAATTTAATTCAAATCAATGGAAACATTACCTTGACTGGCTGCTCCAACGTGACACGGCGTTCTTCAAACGGCAGCGAGTTCGAGTGAGGAATGAAGATTGCCCTGGGTACACCACCATCCTGGTTGTTCTGTGACTCTGGACCAGGTGTCCAGTTATAGTCCATATTTTTAATAGTATTACTCATGTTTGGTTTCACTTTCTTGCTCTTTGATATCACCATCGCACACACTGCTCCTTAGAGTCAGCATTCGTACCCCGTACGTTATTTAACGAGTTACACATCGATGATCGGAACCTAAATCTATTCACTAGCTGCAAGGTGAAAGGTGAGCACTGATCACTGCCATTTTGGAGGCCGAACACTCTTTTCAACTAACTAGAGTTAAATGTAGTTGTTGATTAGATATTCTAAATTTCGAGACAATTATGCAAACACCATTATTTATGAAACTTGATTCCTTTCGTCGACGTAGGTATTAACGAACGATGTATAAAAAATTTAAATCTGGAAGAGGTTTATCAAAAAATGCTAACTAATATTTATTATTGTATATTAAAAAGAGTTTACGCGTGGCTCAGTATTGTAGAAATATATTATTTTCAGGGCGTCAATCAAAATTATCATTTGAGGAACTTACGAAATGGGCGCACGATTCGGACATTTGTTTTGTTGAATTAGAGGTGTGTAACCAGTTGACTAAAAAGTTGAAAATCGACTATTTACTGAGTTTAAATAAATTGTCGGGATTTTTAATTTGAATTCAGAATATTGATTAAAAAACATTAAACATGTGGAACCGAAACTGCTATAATCTACTCGCTATTTTATCTTTAATATATTTTTTTTCTCAATTTATTCTTACACTTTCCGCACCAGTAATTTATGTGATGATTGATTGGAATTATTTTATAAAATGAGGTAAATAAAAATGCTTAGTTAATAGCTGACTCTATGTAACTAACTGTAGTTTTATTACTTTCTCGTTATTGAACGAATAATGAATGTTATACATAGATGTGCAATGAAAATAGAAACCTAATAAATTTAAATAAAATAAGTTAATAATATTTTATAGAAAGAAAAGATTGCAAAATAATATTTATTCATCACATTCCATTCTATTTTTATTTCATTAATTGACTGGATAAATACCTGTTAATAAGCCAAATTAAAAAACATAGCAAAATTGCCGTTATTAAAAATAAACAAAATAATTACTATTTTTTACATTGGTAATATTGAACTCTGATTCTCTCTCTTGCTTTTTCACCAACGAATATGGATTTCATATCTCTGTCTGATTAAGCCTTCTTTCTAGCAACATAGATGGCGCTGTGCTAAAAATAAATGTGTACAGAAAGAAAATCGAAACTTCATGTTGTATTGGATTGGTGGGTGAGTTTGAGCCATTGCAACGAAAACGGTTTTCTGCCTTGGGTCTTGTGTGAAGTGTGATTGTAGAGTGTGTGATATTTATTTCGAACAAAAGTGAAATTTTAAGTGTTTTTGTGTTCCGTAAGTATAATTTGATTTAGTTCTCAGTTATATTCGTAGACTGTAACTAAAACTCAACGAAAATATCTGCGTAGAACTTGTCCGATGCAGACGTTCAATATGGCCGTTCTTTTATGTTATTCATGTAATATTTATTCTTCAGTAAGCAATAATCGCACTGATTACGAAATTAACACTTTAACTGAGGAGTGCACATGAAAATTTCTTAGGTTTTGTTAATTTCGTTGATGTGGCAAAATGACAGTAACCCTGTTGGTTTTGACGTTTAATTTCTGAGTCATTTTACTGCATTCGCGTTCTATGCTACTTTTTTATTCATTTTTGTCTTAATTACGTACGTTGGTGCTCGATAAAAAGGCAAGAATATTTCGCGAACTTCCCTATTACACTGGTTTTTGAAATTCTAAACAAAAAACAAAACTGCTACAAAATTACATAAATCGTCAAAATCCTGATAACATAATTTCACTGGCTTCGTATTATTGGGATGGTCTGAAGGTTAATAGTAAACGGTAAAATTTACTGACTGGTTAGAAATATAAATTACTGGCTGGAGAACTTTACAAAACATGTAAACTGAGATTGTGTTTATAAAAAAAAACTAAGAAATATTACCTTAATTCTGTATATTTACTTACTTTATGGTAAGTACTGAAAATTTAAACAAGCAATCTTTTGTAGCAAATTAAACTGCAAGGTTCATTAATTAGACAAGTCAAAACATATCTTCAAAATTATACTTAATGTTAGATAATGAACTATCTGACTTCCCTGAACCTTGAAGTTGAGCAATGTTCACATGGAGACACTACATAAAACTGTTTTTAGTAATCAATAATAATATACCTTGCTAAAGTTCATTAAACGCCACATTATGGCTTCATTTACGCAACTTATAAAAACAAATGTAGGTATGCCCTTGACATAGAAGCCATACTTAATTTTGATTAGCCTCAAATTACATGTTAACAGTTTAGCATTTTAAAATTTATTTCAAAGAAGCCATTGAAATTGTTGAGGTTTATTTTAAGTGTGTCAGATATTCAAAATTTCTTAGTGACACCAAAGTTTTAAAATTTTTCCTGGTAGGTATGTGATTTTAGATGTAGAATAGAAGTGGTGTTTGATAGTATTTGTCCATGTCAGCTCCTTCAGGTATTAAAGTTTTGTAATGTCATAAAAAAACTAAAGCTACACATCCTTGTCAGATTTAATTCATCAAATCCCAAGTGAACTCTGGCATTAGCGCACCTGTTGTCCTACTATTGTGTCTCTTATTAACAAATATGAAAGGTTAAGTAATAATTAAAATCAAATAGAAGTGTTATTAAACTATCTAAAGGAGGCTTTAAGCAAGGTTTCTTTTGCACTATGCAGTAAATATCAATGTGCTTTTTTTTAATAATTAATGATATCATATACTCTTATTTCTTCCAATAAGTTATTATGAAATATAGGTATATCTCCCGTAACTTATTACTATTTTATCAGTTTTATGTGATTAATGACACTAATTATTGAAAATTGATAATAAAATGCTATTATGTTTGTATGTTTTGCAATTTGCAAAGTACTAGAATTTTTGTAGTTGGTTTACTTTCATATTGTTTTTGTTGTTTACATCTTTACAATATGCTTATGTGATAAATTGTCATTTGTTTTTTAGTACAACTTTTCTTAACTTCTTTAAAAGATGAACACTGTAACCATCTAGGTACTAGTCATCTGAAATAGTAAATCTATGATTTCTCCCTAATTTGTTTTAAGTTTTCAATCGGTTTTGAAATTAAGATATCCTTACATAATCAATAATACAGCTAGACTTTACTATTAGGTACATAGTTTAGCATTGCATTCATTAGGTCATTGACTTTAATGTGTAATGTCAACAGTCTTCCTGTTATCAGAATATTAATTGAGAAAATATTAAAATATCTGCAGTAAATATTACATCTTTATTGATGTTCTTTGAAACAACATCTTATTATAAAAAGTATGCCTCTATGTTCTGTATACATTGTTCTGAAAAAATGTTTCATAATATAAATAAAACCCATATTTTATATACATGATTTTTACTACTAGGTCTTATTCTCATATACAGTAAGACTAATTTCGCATGGATTAAGTTTCCTTGTTTGTGTAAATTTGGTCAGGGTTAAACAAATAAAACAACCTTTTTAGATTGTTTACCTGCTTTCCTTAGTACCAAATGTAGAGACTTGATACATAAGATTTATTTAGATGACTCACAAGTATTTTAATGTTGTCAGTGATGTAATGTGACCTTTAATCTGCCTTCCTCATGTCTTAATTTATTTCACAGTGCTATTATAGCTTCTTATTTCATTTTTGTAAACTCTATAACAGTTTTGCAAACATATATTTTAATTATTATGGCAACAGTAATGCAACCTCTTTTGTTTTCTGTATTACATAAAAAAATACTTATAAATTCAATTTTGGAATGGAGCAATCTATCTTGTCAATGATACCTCCATAAAAGCGCGCGAAAATTAAGCAGTTATCTTTTGTTACAATTTAATTTTATATTCAACATACTGACATATTTGAAACTCAAACCTACTTGTCTTAAATACCTAATTTATTAACAAAACTATTGTAATTGTACACAGGTGTTATAATGGCAACGGCGTTCCTGCCGTCGCCCGCGTGAATAAGTGAGACTCTAGTGCAGTGAACCAACCGGGCCCGCCGCCTCAAGCGTCACCCGACCACGATGAAAATGGTGTTGTCACAACGGCAACGAGAGGAGCTGTAAGTAATGCGTATAATATTGTCATATTATCTATCATTTGTGTGTCACTCAGTTCACGCGATTTGGATTTTCTACGACAGCAAGCAAATTTTAAAAATTCATATTAAATTTTATCTGTTATTTCTAGTTCTTTATTCAAGAACTGTTTATACTGTATGCACTCTTCCACTTTCATAGAACATTACTTCTTTAGTATAATTACGAAAATTATATTCAGTATATTTATGCAAATGTTCATAGTAATCGTTATTTTTTAATATGACCTAAAAAGCAATGACGTTCTTGCACAGTTGGAAACACTGACGCTTTCATTTGTTTAAAACATTAGCAGTAACACAGATAAGTTGATTATTTTAGGGGAAAGAAATAAGGCGATGCTGCTAGAATATTCATTAACTTCACTGCTGCGACATACGTAGGTAGTTACTGTTGCGCCTAACTTTTCGTATCAGATAGAAATCACATTCATTCAACAGTTCACCCTGAGGTCATATAGGTAACAATTTGCTCACAGAATACAGCATTAAATTGGTTAGAAATCCGGAATAGAAAGCTTGCACTTATAAATTAATGTATTTTTATTGCACTGCACATATGTGGTGCAGCTATGTTATTCAGCAGACAATCACACCTAAGAATATTGCTGTATTAAATTATTTCTTAAACATTTTTTGTTACTCTTGAAATTAATTCATTATACAGTTCTTTATTCTAAATAAAAGATACAGCATTGTCTTCAGAATATACGATTGCGTTTTGGACCAGCAGAATTGAGTTTCAATGAATTCGGTCAAGCAAATAGTTGCGGCGGCAACAAGGTCGCTACTAACGCAATGTTACCAATACTCTACTAGAAACTTTCTGAATTTGGTATTAATTACATCCTACCAAAAGTTTACAGGCATCTTACAGAATCACTTGATAATCATCTTTGATGTCAATCGCATCTTTACTGATATTTAAAAACGACACTCAATTTCGTATAAAAATTGTACATAGTAGCTAAAATTTATTTTGCATGTGAACAATGATCTACGAGTTCTCTCGAGCTCAATCCTCGTGTCATACAAAGCATTTTGGGCTTTAACAACTAATGAAAAGTATAAGTAGTAATAGAAAAAATGAGCTAGGAATAAAACTTTCTGGTATCTCTATGTTATTTGCCAATATGTAAATCCCAAGCATTCGAAAAAATTTGTGATTGAGGGGTGGGCTCATCCGAATAAAATTTGCCCTTCTTTTTTCTAAAGTGTGCAAAAACCTAGGAATAGCAAATATTGACCTAAAATTTTTTTTATTATTTCTGGTACCTAATACTTGTAATTAAACCAAACCACAACTTTGAAAGTTGTCACATTGTTGAACATTATAATGTAGGTTAATATTGATTATACTCGTAAGTTACTCGCAAGTACTTATGCATTCGCGCCAATTATTTAATCGTTTCAATTGATGTTTGAGTAACCATATTTTTTAACTATAGACTTCCTT